TATAAAGTCAGATTCGCTTACCAAGAGCCTACCGAAGATTGCTGGTTTACAAGAGACGAACTGATAGAGACAGCCCCGCATATAGTATCCTATTATAAGCGGGCTCGCAGAGGCATCAACATCGTAGATCGGTAAAGTTTGTGACTTTCTCGGAGGACCTCGAAACTAGGCCGGCGAGAGTGAAAGGCATTTTCACTTTGCAGACCCCAAATTCGAGTCCCAGGGTCAAGGTCCCCAAGTCAAAAGAGGCCGAGAAGGCCAAAACAGAAAAATTGTCGAGTCGGGTACCCCACAGGCCACACAGGTCAAAATTCAACCGGTACCCGGCCTCAAAGTCAAGGCCCACAGCCAAAATGCAGCAGCGTTCCAAAAAATGTCTTCCAAAAGCAAACAGGCCGTGGGCGACCGGTACCAGTCAAAGTCAGGCCCAGGCCGAGTCACGCAAAGGCCAAGTGAAGTACAGGCCCAGTCCAAGTCAATAAAAAGACTGGCTCAGCCTCATTCGGACAGATGGCTCATTTACGAGAAGGTGGAAGTGCTGCTGGGTGCTTGTGTGCTATCACGAGTTGACTGAGCACTAGGGAGCCCTGCTGGGCAGCACTAAGCTGTGAGTAGAAGGCGGCCATAGCCGCTGAGTAGTAGTAGTAGTAGAGCGTGAGTAAAAGGCAGATGTATCCAGGGTTATGATCCTCATAGCAGCACAGAGAGAGAGAGAGAGAGAGAGAGAGAGAGAGAGAGAGAGAGAGAGAGAGAGAGAGAGAGTTACATACCTCATTGATGCTGCTGGATATTGTGCTGATGAGCGCTTGGTGACACAAACTCTGAATCTGTACAATATGATCATTCATTGAAGCTTTTAAGCTGCGCTAATCGGGTCTCTCCATCTTTGGACTACGGTGTGAACTTCGTGTGAACTCTCATTGTGCATATGCTTGGAGTGTCAATATAAGTGGTTCATTGCACACTCATCATTATTGTTATTATTTATTGTTAGAATAAGAGGGGAGGAGAAAAGGAGGAGGAGTTTGGTTGGGGAGAAGAAGGGGGAATTATCATTGGTCTTTTGCTGGTGTACATCTTCTTCTTCTTCTTTCTTTTTCTTCTTCTTCTACTTTCCCTAGCTCTCCTCTCAAGTTCATTCATTTCTTTTCACAATTGGACGGCATTGTACTTTGTCATGATTTTGTGCTTCGAAATTGGCCAGGATCGTAATGTAAGAGCTTCCCCTGCTGTGACAGGCACTTAAGTATATGACACCCGAAGGAGCATCAGTTGCTCATCCGGCCTACACTAGCAAGTACTAAGCATATTGCCCATGGAAGGTGTTAGTTGTGACTGCAGTTGTGCGGTAGTGGCCGTCAGACTGTTTGGCTATGTGGTAAACTCTCTCTGCCCTATACGATATTCATGTCTCTGATGTGTGTCTTCAGTCTGCGCTTTCCACAGGGCAGTGAAAGAGGACCTTGAGCAGCGTATCAACAGGACCTGGTCTGGAACATGCAAAACGAACGAGGATAAAATGGATGATGTCAACAATGCAACGGGTGTACTCCAGGTTACATCATTGATATCATTATGCGCGCAGTGTCTTTTCTTGCATAGATTGATCCTGAAATGAGATGTCTTTCTTCATTGTCTTCGCATTTTGAAGTAATAAACACAAGACAATATTGAATGACCTTTTCTCATATACAGATATGCTGTAGGTCGGATCAAACCCCTTGAAAGTTAGATGGGTGCAACTGCTGATGACCAAATGCAAGTGTATGTTAGCTGGATCCAGTCACATTGTGCATGTGTGATCATGTGTGATCCTGACCACCAAGCTTCTTCTTGGGAATTGTGCATCAGAGCGCACTGTAATTACCCTAGGTTAGGAGCTCATCACAGCGACTCGGCTTTTGAACTGCTGATGTTTGCACAGTGTGTGCTGTTGGAAAGGGCCTGCATCTGGCCAGGAAATGCCCACACACTGTGAGCAAACCTGTAGCAACCTACCAGTTTCCCCATAGCATGCATCTTCGGGCGACCACTCAAAAAGGGGTTATAATGGCGGTGGAACTTGTACGGGGACTGGTTGTATGCATTTTTGCAGAGGACCGACAGCTATTGCTCCCAGAACTGGCACCTTTGAAAAGTGTAGGACAGGTCCTACCTTGTGACTGGAGGCCCAAAAAGGGCCCAAAGTCTTGGAACGGCGTAATTTTTAGGCCGCTCGATATCATAGATCTGGCGGTGGCTAATAGGCTTGGCCAAAGGCGGTTAGTTATTGCAAAATTTTGAGTGCACTTACTTTGGTGCTTTTTTGTGATCATAAGAGTTGTGCGAGGAATGAGCCCTCACGGGGCCCTTATCAGACATGCACATGTTCTGGGCTGTGGCCCTCAGCAAGCCCTGTGCCCACCCTAAGTGAAGGCGGGCCTGAATATTCACAAGAGGCCAAAATTTGACATTTTCCATATGTGGGTACTCAGACAGTTGCAGCACGCAAGTTGGTTGAAGTGCAATGTGAGCCTCTCCCTTGGCTCCTTCAAGAAACAGCAGCTGTGTCAAGCGGTTGAGCCCAGGGCCGGGTCGTTGCGCCCTGGGCACACGCAGTGTGGGGCCGACACATCACGAGTGGCTGCGGGCGAATCAGAAAGCAGCATTGTCGTCACAGAGGCCCAGCGAGCCAATGAGAAGGCAGCAAACACTCGGACCCTGGAGGCTCCCTGGATGTGCCCCACCAGAAAGGGCGACAGGGTGTTACATGTTGCGCCTGCAACAGGCTGCACGGGCCATTTTCAGGCCCGTGTCGTTTTCAGCCTGAAAGCCTGAAAACAAGGGCCTACAGGCCCTGTGTCGTTTCAGCCCGAAAGCCTGAAAACAAGGGCCTACAGGTTCTGTGTCGTTTCAGCCTAAAACAGGGCCCTCCATGCCCTGAGTCTTTTCAGCCTGAAACGGAGGGCCATTTTCAGGCCCTCATAAGATCGACCTGCCCTGAAACTCAGGCACCAGACCAGGGTTTTAGCACAGGCCATTTTGGGCCTGTTTTCAAGACAACCCTCATTTGAGCTTCAATGCCAGGGTCTGGCACGTTTTGGCATTGGCAAGAGCAGCCTCCTGGACGGGCCAGCGCTATATAAGACTGGCCCGCCCTGCAGGCTGCAGGTAGTTCATAGGGACTTCCCAGGCACTTCACGTGCAGTTCAGGAGGCAGGAGGTGGTCTTCAGGATTCGGCAGCAGCACTCTGGAGGAGCACTGCAGGAGTAGTAGTAGCGCTAGCAGTAGTCTTCAGCGCTGGGCGCTAGTAGCGTTGGCAGTAGTCTTCAACGCTGGGCACTAGTAGGAGCTCGAGTAGTACTGGAGGGAGAGAGAGAGATTGGGCGGAGGCCAGGGAGACTTACCTGCAGTGTCATAGCTCCAGCTTCGCCTTCGAGGTACCTGCAGCACGGTGCCATCTTCACAGGTTAGTACCTGGCACATGGGAGAGAGTGAGAGAGAGTGAGTTCTTCTTCTTCCTCCTCTCAGTCCACCATCTCCCTCTCATCCTCTCGCTACTTGACTTCACTGCATCATCAGACTACGAGAGAGCGGGTTTGGTGACATTTGAATCCAGACTCGACATTGGGCTTCAGACATTTGATGAGGGATTATCTGGGACTTGTAACGAAGACTTGGAGTTGACGACATTCCCATCTCCCCCCTTCTTCCTCATCTGATCCCCTCCTCTTCATCTGTGAATGGTCTGGACCTGGCGCATTCTTCCTGTGTGTAGTGCCAGGCCCCTTCACACCTTGTGATGAGGATGGTGTATGTTTGATCTGCATTGCGACATTGATTGGGCTAGTCATTGGTATTCTAGCATTCTGCTGCGCTGTCTTGCACTACGTGAGAGAGGTCAGTCCCGGTCAGGTCAGGGCTTATATCTAAGTCTTCCACTGCGCTACAAAGCACCATTTTGTATCTATCAGGATGTACATTGCTTGTTGAGATTCCACTAGCACTGCATTGTCCATTCAGTCCTTTTTATCACATTGCGGATCCTTGGCTATTTACATACATCGCCCAACTGGGCATGTAACAATTGGTACCGGAACACCGCACGTGAATCAGGACAACCTGATCTGACACGTGTGCGGGGACTAAGTAGTTAATTAGTTTTTATTGATTGATTGATTAGAGCATACTAATTAGCCCCAAAAATCACGATTTTGACCTCACTGCCGAAAATCAATTTTTTTTCTTCTTTTCTTGGATTTTGTTTTTCCGCTATTTCTGTTGTGGAAAATCGCAATAGCGCAACACCTGAAATTTCCGTTTTCGTTTTTCTTCTGAAAATTTGAGATTTTCGTTGTTGGAAATCCGGAATATTTTTTTTTTGAAAATTTTCATTTCCTTTTGCAATTTCCCGTTATTTGGAAATACGGAATATTTTTTTGAATTTCCGAAATTCGTTTTTTTGGAAAACAGTATGGGAAATCCCTCTTGCAGTTACCATTTTCCAAACTGTGCGTACTCTCATCTGAGTAATTCCGAATATTTTGTTTATTTTTCCGAATTCTTTTATCGGATAATCATTTGCAGTCTGAAAGTTGGAATTTTTTTCTCATTGGTAATTTCGCATTTCAAGGGGAATTCGGAGACCTACTGAACTTGCAAAACTCGGGATTTTTATTAATTTTTCAAAAAAAACAAATCTCTGCAAAAGTTCAAACTTTTCTTTTTGATTAGTGGCTCCTTATCTGGGTGATTTATCTCACCCATCCCTCCCCACCTATGTTGTTGCCCCCTCTGGTCTTATCTTCTCTATCTGTCTCCGGGTACCCCCTGCGGCGGCATTGGTGAGTTGCCACGTCAGCAGGCCACGTCAGCAGACCACGTCAGCAGGCCACGTCAGCAGACCACGTCAGCAGGACACATCAGCAGGACACATCAGCAGGACACATCAGCCGACAGCCATGCCACGTCAGCAGCCGAACAGTGCCACGTCAGCAGTCCTCCGGCCTGGTCGATGCTCACGCGCTTACAAACAGCCGGCATGGATCAGAAGTCCGGGGAAACGGCCGAGGCCTATCACGCCTGGATGCTGGCTTGGAGTACCGAAGCCAATCAACGGCCAGATGCAGTAGCAGCCGCAGAAAAGAAGAAGGCGGAGGATGTCCAACAGGCACGTCTGTTGGCAATCGAACAGCAGCGCCAGCACGACGAGGCAGCAGCAAAGGCTGCCGATGAAGAACGAACTCAACGACATGAGAAGATATTCAACGGGGAGCGAGCTTTGCTCACAATGGCAGCAGACTGTGGGGCCGAGGCCGAGAATGGTAAGATGGAAGAGAGTGAAAGCAAGATCGCTCTACTCCTCTCCCATATCACGGATCTCCTGGCAATGTGCATTGCACAGCAGGAGGACATCCACAATCTCGACGTCGCAGTTCAGATATACAAACGGGCGTTTGATCAAGTCAACAGCTGCCTCCAGCAGCTGCAGCAACGACCCGTCACCGCCCCCGATGCCAGCTCCTCCAACACCTTTGATCACCTCAATGCATTGGAGATCGACTTCGGAGCCCTCAAGGACGATGTGCAGCTACAGCAAACCGCCACGCAACAACTGGAGCAGCGGATCTGTACTGCCGCCGCCAACCCGAGTTCGGCACCACGCGAGTCAACTCCAAAGTTCGATGACCAGGGGATCTTCTGCGATTCGATGAAGATGGACCCGACTTCGTGGTTCCAAAAGTTCGAGCTCACGTTGCAGCTACACCACGTCAGCGAGCACAAACATCACGCATACTTGTACTCCTGATCTGGGGGCGCATGCCAAGCATGGTTGGACAATCTCTTGTCCAAGTACGGGGTGGTAAATGGCGACTTGTACACCAAGATTAGCGGGGATGATCTAAATGCGGCGTGGCATAAGCGGCTCCAAGTAGAGCCGCCAGAGGTCAAGGCAATAGACAAGTTGATGACCTTCAAAGAAGGCACGCTGTCGAGTGTTGACTGGATTGCCGAGTACCAACGCTTGACATCGATCCCAGACATTCAGATGGGCTTCAAAGTTGTTAAACACTACTTCATCTCGAGGTCGTGTCCGGCGTTGGGCAACGCGTTGACTCACGTCGAGGACAACCTGACGACAACGGCGAAACTCTTTGACAAGGCCGCACAGATTATTGTCACGAACAAGGAGGCTAAGAACCTCAACCATTCGTCTGCTGCAGGCCCGAGTAGAGATCAGCATCGGCCGAAAGTGGTCGTGGTCGTGGCGTCAACGCCAACCAACCAATCTAGCGAGGCCATGTCTGCCAATGAAGGGGACAGACTCGCAGCCGCCCGGGATGGTGGCCGCCCCGGCAGAGGCCCAGGACGCGGCAAACCAAAGACAAACACCACATTTATCCCCGGGCTCAGCGCAACAGCTCCAACCCCATGGACCCACTACGGCCTCTAGGAGCAAGCATACAAGCAACGCACGAGATACCGCTATTGCCTGTGGTGTAACAGCAATCTCCACGACACAGTGGACTGCCCATTGAAGGGCAAATGCAAATCGGGAAACCGAGCACCGCCGAGAGTGACTCAACGACACTCTCGACGCCTTCGGAACCGGTCGCTTCGTGGGTGACCGCCCTTCGTTCTGAGGCACATGAGGAAGTCGATAGTCCTCCTCTTCTATATTCTTATGAGGACTATGCTGCTCGACTGCCGGGACCCCAATGCGCAGCCTTATGCGCTCATCTTTACATGTATCTATCCTTTTATGCACCACCAACTTCGCCGACGGATGACGAAGCTGCGGTGGGGGGCATCGTTGAGTATGTTACTAAGGTGGCCCGCGAGTTTCGCAATCAGTGGTATGATGACAACAACGCACCGCTCCTCTATGTCCACATCCAAGTTGGGCAAGCGTCCTGCAACGCTTTGCTGGATAGCGGCGCGTCTCGCAATTTCATGAAGTGCACAAGTTCGGAGCAAGGCAAACCCGACGGCGATCAAGTTGGCGGACGGAAGGACGCAGCAACTTATCAACCGCTACATCGAGGTCGTACCGGTGTATTTTGCGGCTCATGCATGTGAACCGGTGACATTTGACATTTTGGACACTGACTTCAACATTATTTTGGGAATGCCTTGGCTTGCATATGCGGATCACACGGTCAACTTCCACCAGCGAACTCTTACCGTTCGGAACGCCTTTGGTGCCAAAGTGTCGTGTACTATTCCTCTTCCGCACCCTTCGATTCGGTGCCAAGTGGTGACAACCAACTCATTCCGCGCTACTTGTGCTTACGAGCAGCCCGATGAAATCGTCCTATGTTTCCTACAGACCGTCGCGCTAGCCGACTCTTCACCCATGGACTTGTCTTCGGACCCCCGTGTGGTGTGGTTGCTTGACGAGTTCGCCGACATTTTTGAGTCACCTACCAATGTGGTGCCGGATCGGCCGATCTCTCACGAGATCATTCTTGAGGCCGGTATCGTGCCACCAAAATGTTGCATTTATCGCATTAGCGAGGAGGAGCTTACGGTCCTCCGCGCGCAACTCGATGACTTGATGGATAAGGGTTGGATCCGCCCTAGTAGCTCCGCATATGGAGCGTCAGTTCTCTTCGTACGGAATGCGGGGCCTTTTCCTCGTATTGACGATCTCCTTGAGCGATTGGGTGGCGCAAAGTACTTTTCTAAGTTGGATTTGAAGTCGGGATATCATCAAATTTCGATCCGACCGAACGATCGCTATAAATCCGCGTTCAAGACGCGGTATATGGGCATTTTGAGTCGGTGGTCATGCCTTTTGGCCTCACCAACGCCCCGACGACCTTTCAAGCGACAATGACCAACGAGTTTCGTGCGATGTTGGACCGGTTCGTGCTGGTCTACTTAGACGACATTCTCGTCTATAGCTGGACATTGGAGGATCATCTTGAGCACCTTCGATAAGTGTTGGAGACACTCCGCCGCACCAAGTACAAAGCCAACCGCGACAAGTGCGAATTTGTCCGGCAAGAGCTGGAATACTTGGGCCATTTGTCACACCAGAGGGCATCAGTCCGTTTTCGAACAAGATTCAAGTCATCCAAGAGTGGCCGGAGCCGCGGAACGTCACGGATGTCCGTTCGTTCCTTGGCCTTGCCGGCTACTACCAACGTTTCATCAAGGGATACTCGAAGATCGGCCCACTTGACCAAGCTTCAATGTGAGGATCGACCGTTTGACTTCGGAGAGGATGCGCGGGAATCATTTTTGGCTCTCAAAGCAACGCTATTATCTGCGGAGGTCTTGCAAATCTACGACCCGCTATTGCCAACGTGCGTCACTATGGGTGCGTCTGGCTATGGCATTGGTGTCGTCTTCGAACAACACAATGGTGTGGACTGGCACCCAGTCGAGTGCCCGCCATGCACTCCATTGATGATGCACGCGGTGGGTAGGTGCTTGGAGTGGCTCGGTCAATCTAGGTGCTTGGACTGGTTCGGTCGGTATAGGTGCTTGGCTACGTGACACCCTAGGCCGCGGATTCTGCAGCCTAGGAGGAGGCCGAGAAGGCCGGGCGCGGGCCCTCGGCCGAGGCCGCGCGGCCGCCCCAGGCCCAAGCGGGGGTGCGCGCGGGAAAATGGCGCGCGCACGAGGGCGTCGCACGCCGGCCTCTATGGCCCTCTTAAAAAAAAATAAAAAAAAATAAAAAAATTGGGGGGGTGTTTTTTGGTATGTGAGAAAAAAAAATTAATAAATAGAAAAAAAATAAATATTGATTGATTGATAGTTTTTTTGATTGATTGATTGATTGATTGATTGATTAATTGATTGATTGATTGATCGATTGGTGGGGGAGGCAGTGAATCCCCCCTGGTGGCGGACAACTGCGGACAAGTCCGCGGCCACGGACGCGCGGCTTCACGGACCCGTGTCGGCCAGCGGGGAGGGGGGTTGATGATGTGGGAAGCGCCATGCGGCGGCGCAACCCGAGCCCCACCCCGTCAAACAAACAAAAAACAGAAAAAAAACAATTTTTTTGTCGGGGGGGTTGGGTTGTGAGCGTAGATATTTGGA